GAACCTACACCTGACTCATAATCTAGTTTGGCCTTGGTCCTATCAATTATATTTTAAATCCTATTTCGTTTTGGGGGAAACGGAGCAGTGATGAAATGTAAAATTTGTTACTACCGATTCTGTGGGCATGGCTTGGGGGTGTGGGGATGTGACTGGGTGGGCATGGCCAACTTTTTTTTTTTTAACTTTTAAAAGCATTTTTTCTACAACCTCTTCGGCTGAAGAGATTTTTAAAAAAGGCTTTTAAAAGGCTCTGATGATCCCAGCTGAGTTGCCTGATTGTCAGAGGCATTTGTTTTCTTTTAAAAGCATTTTTTTTTTGCTTTTAAAAGAAAAAAAAGCCTCTGACGATCAAGCAACTCAGCTGGGATCGTCAGATCCTTTTAAAAGCATTTTTTCTACAAATTTTTTCTTCAGCCGAAAAGTTTGTAGAAAAAATACTTTATTTAAGGCTCTGATGATCCCAGCTGAGCTGCGCGATCATCAGAGGCTTTTTTAAAAAACTTTTAAAAGCATTTTTTTAGCTGAAGAGGTTGAGCTAAAGAGGCATGGCTCAGCTGGGCATGGAGAGGGGGGCAGGGATTTTTGCTACCGGTTCTCCGAACCACCCACCATCATCCCTACCGGATCGGGCGATCCAGTCCAAACCAGGAGCATTTCACCCCTGAAACGGAGATATAATCACATTACCCTTAAATGGCCTTCCAAGTGTGTTTTATTTTTAATCCTGGAGACCAGATAACCATTTGTCCAGAATGGTATAGAGTCAGGGGTGAAATGCTACCGGTTCAGACCGGTTTTCCTGAACCAATAGTAAAAAATGCTACTGATTCGAGCGAACCGGTATTTCCGATGATCAGCTGGGCGACGATCAGCTGTGACACGCGATTTATATTAGCTAGAATCATCGGATTTCCTGCTTTCTAGCTAATCTAAATCACGTGGCATAGCGGATTCCCCCCTCCCCTCGCTGTTCTACTTACCTTTGCAGACTCAGAAGGCTTCAAAATGTTCCTTTTTTAGCGCTGTGTGGGTGCGCGTGCTCATTAGCAGACTCACAGAACTGGTAGCAGACTTCAGAGGATTTCACCGCTGTATAGGGTCTCTTGCTCGAACAGGGGGTTGGCCTAGAAGATCTCCAAAGTCCCTTCCAACTCTATGATTTTATGTTCTGTATAGTTTGAGTTTAGCTGAATTTCAACCCGCCCAATAGGGTCATCCTTGAAAAGTCCTTTGTTCTTATTAACATTCGCTGAACCTCTGCTGTTTGAAGAACTTAAGACTTGCCTAAATATGCTAATGGATTTAGAAAACCTTTGCCTTGAAATGTTTCACCTAGAGTATCAAATGGGGAAGGGGGGGGGGAAGAGACACAGTGAGAGACGCAACTAAGGAAAAAAAAAAACCCCTGAATTAAGCATCTTGTCACAGCTTGTAATTGGCTTCAACTTTTATTGAATATTAATGGCATCCATTTTTTAGTAAGGTGAAGAGAGAGGAGAAGTTTCCAACCCAGGATTATCACACAGGTTAGGACCAGGAAACCTGATGCTCAGCTCAAGTTACCTTGAGGTCCCCGCGCGCGACAAATCCTCGCTTTTTCAACGTGGCATGGTTTTTTATCAAAGGCGCAATTTAATATTTATGCTAAGAGGATTCTCCCCCAAAGACAAAAAAAGAGAGTAACTTGTGTTCCTTTCATTTGTATTTTAAATAAATAATGAGAACATTGAAACACATTACTCTTTTTTTTTTTTGTCTCTCTCTCTCTCTCTCTTCAGGACCCCGAGGTCGGTTAATCTTATTATTTATGAAGTGATGTGCTACTTTATGGTACTTAATGCATGTTAACAGATGCTATTATCACAGCCGGAAGTGGAACTGGAGAAGATATATAGGAATGTGATGTGTTAATACTGTCCTTGTGCTGTAATGCACCAGGGATTGAGTGCGCGAGAAGGTAGAGCCGCAATTAACCGCTTTCCAACATGGGTGTGAACTTGACAGACGTCGTCCCCTGGGTGTTTTTCCGCCATCAATAATCCCCAGGAGAAATGATGTCCCCTTTTGGATGGGTTTTGTTTCATCCTTTTCTCAAGGGTCAAACGTGGCCAAGCGATCGCGTCCATTAATCATTTGAAGGGTGTTGAAAGCATTAATCGGTTGATTGTCGGGGCCAGTCCCTGAACCCTTTGGCTGCAAATGAAGATGTGGCGTTCTGCTTTATGTTAGTTTGGGCACAGTGGTAGCCTTTTGTAGATGGGGTCCTTTGGAGCTAAGGCTGAGTATTGAATTAATACCAGAGGAACTTTCACTCCTTTAGATGATGTTCTGGTACTGAGTGCCGAAAAGGGACTGCGCACACGCTTGTCTAGGCCGCAACCTGGAAGAAGAGCTGCCCAGGATGCATGCACATGCCCGAAAATGAACTTCCGGTTTCCGGTATGCACATGCACTCTGGCCAGCTAGTCTACTGGGTTTCTGGCACACATGCACATGAGACGATAAGCTGGCTGGTGCACATGCTCATGCAGGAAAACGGAAGGCCAGCTCTTCCAGTTTCTGCCACATGCAAAAAGGCCAGCTGATTGTCATGCGCACCAGAAACCCAGAAGAGGAGCGGATGATGTCGTGCATGCCAGGCGACATGCCTCCGTGTGCCACTTCGGGCACACGTGCCATAGGTTCACCATCACTGACTTAATTAGAGGCAGGGACAGGGGTACCAAAAACTCACCTTACACAGAGGAATAACGCACCTTCTACAGAGGAATGATTGAGTCTGTCATCTGCACCTGTACAACTGACTGGTTTGGTTCTGCAATCCAACAAGACAGACATAGACTTCAGATCATTAGAACTGCAGAAAAAACAATGGCTACCAACCTGCCTTCCATTGAGGACCTGTATACTGCACAAGTCAAAAAGAGGGCTGTGAAAATATCTACAGATCCCTCACATCCTGGACATAAATTGTTTCAACTCCTACCCTCAAAACGATGCTATAGAGCACTGCACACCAGAACAACTAGACACAAGAATAGTTTTTTCCCGAAAGCCATCACTCTGCTTAACAACTAATTCCCACAACACTGTCAAATAATTTACTAAGACTGTATCACTATTATTCTTCTCTTCCTTACTAGTATCTATCTCTTCCCATTTATAACTATAACCATGTTGCTTATATCTTTCCATTTATATTGTTTTTATTTGTTTCCTAGTACGATTTGATAGCTTATTAGTAACCTTGATTATCACTAAGTGTTGTATCTTTTTATTCTTGATGAATGTATTTTATTCTACTTATGTACACTGAGAGCATATACACCAAAGACAAATTCCTTGTGTGTCCAATCACACTTGGCCAATAAAGAATTCTATTCTATTCTATTCTATTCTATTCTATTCTATTCTATTCTATTCTATTCTATTCTATTCTATTCTATTCTACTCTACTCTACTCTACTCTACTCTACTCTACTCTACTCTACTCTATGATTCTATTCTATTCTAAACTTCGGAAGAATCATTTTTTCCCTTTTGAAACACAAACAAGCTACCTAGAAAAAGGGTGTTTTTTCAAAGATTATCTTTCGGCTGTCTTCCTTCTCCTATTACAAATAACCAAATCTGTCTTCCACTTTGCACGCTTTCATAAGCATTTGATAATGAGCCAGCAGTTGGCAAATTAAAACACACAGCGGTTAAAAAAAAAAAATTGACTAAGATGGGAAATACTAAATGGCTACAAATTCACTAGTACAAGGAGAATTAAATGGCAGCCTTTATTATAACATAATCTTCTGAGAGGGGTGGGTTTACAACTCATAAAATCTTCCCGCACACATTCAGTTGCTTATGATAATTAAGCTCCAGATTTGCTGATGAAGATTCTCTTTAATAAGAAACAGTGTAATTCAAAGGGATCCTCTGAGAATGTAGCGACTGCTAACCCCTTAATTTAATTTTGCTCGAGTTTTGCCCATCTATTCATCAGCAGAAATTGTTATTAACCTTCCTCTGCAACCAGCCACCTTCCCCCACCCCCGTTTCTTCTTCTTCCCTTTTGCCAATCTCTCAGATTTACAAGCCACCTCCTGCAATATTATTTAATCTACCCTGTGACCTTAGCGCAATAAATTTGGTTTAATCTCCCTCAATAATCTCGTAATAACAGCAAAAAAGAACCGGCAGGAAGCAACCACTCCAGATAAGAATGTGAAGTAATGAAGAAATAATTTGCCATCAAAATGCGGATGGGTTGAATTCTCTCTGTGAATGGCTGCTCTTCAGCTTTTATATTAATCGGACAATAAAATGTATCCTTTGACATCAATGAAATCTAAGTTGGTCATTCTGGTCTAATTGATTTAAGGGAGTGTAAGCATGATTAAGTCTGAATCCAAAAAATGTTGTCTGTTTTCTCTTTCCAATACACTTCCGGAACCTCACTTTCCATTATTTGCAAAGTCTGTTTTTCAAAAGACATTTTTTTTTCCTTTTTTCCCCCTCTCAGTCACAGAGTGTTTTTAAAAAGGCTAATTTTTGGGAATTTATTTTCTTTTTGCTAGACGACAAAGAATGTTGCTGGTTTTGTGGGGTTTTTTTTAAAAAAAATATGGACCTTTCCTTCGGATGTCTGCTCTTAAATTGTAAATTGTAAGAGGCAAGCAGGTTACAATTTACAAACCACGGAAAGGACAATTAGACCTTGAAAATTCAACACTGACTTTATACTTTCGAGCTTCTTATATCTAAGAACTCTGTGTCTGTCCACAATTATACCTGATTCCTCTTTGGAAAGAAAAAACAAGTGAAAACAAACTGAATTTGTTCCCTCTGCAAAAAAAACTGCAAAATAAAAGTTCTGCATTGCACCGATCCGTTCAATGCGTTTAGTGTGATTTCCCGAGGTCGCGTCTTAAAGCATTAAATCTTGAACTGCTTCCAGTAACTAATTTCCAATCTTTTTTTATTTACTTGTTTGTTTATTTTAGATGCCATTCACCACTTACAGAAAACTTACCGGAGGACGAGAAACCGAAATGCAAGCCTTACTGGGAGGACAATGATCCCAGGATGCCATTACCTTTCGATCTTGATGATATAATATTTGAACTACAGACAATTCTGGAAGATTAGAAAAGCTTTATCAGAAACTGGAGTTGGAGTTCCACTGCTAAGAAGCACCAAAGAAAAAGAATGAAAGCAAAGAAGCCCGTTAATTAATTGCAGATTTAGCGACATTCAGTAGCATGGTCGGTTGAGAAACAAATCAAAAAGGGGTCCTTGGTTTTCTCTGAGCTTAGTTGTTTTTTTGCAGACTTTTCATTACCCAACTAGGTAACATCATCAGTGCTAGAAGGGAGGGGGTTTGCAGAAAGGAGGAGGAGGGGTGTGGGACCCCTGGTGTTCTCTTGAGTTTGTTTTCTTGCAGATGTTTCATTACCCAACTAGGTAACATCATCAGTGCTAGAAGGGAGGAGGTTTGCAGAAAGGAGGAGGATGGTTCTTGGTGCTCTCTTAGCTTGGTTGTTTTCTTGCAGACGTTTCATTACAACCCTGAGCTACAAATATTCTGATTTATTGGTCAATCGAAAAGGACGTTAGAGCTGGATTATGAAAAGTAGATTATCTGGAATCTGTAGTGGAGCTAAAAACTCAAGTGATATCCATACCAAAGAGCATTTCAGATAGGTAATGAGAAATAAAGGACCAACTGATGCCTGTTTTATTGATGTTTACTGATATTTAATGATATTTTGGTCTTCGGTTACATGGCAAACACCATCGAGTTGGCCAAGAAATTGGGAATCTATTATTCTGTTTGAACAGAGGGCTGAACTAGAAGACCTCAAAGGTGTCAGAATATTCATGAACTGGAATGGAGACATGGTAACAAGGTCAGCCAATGAATAGGCATAGCAACTGGCCTTGGTAGTACAGTGGTCTAAGGCACCCTGTTATTAAGCTGGTTATTAAAGACCAGATGCCTGCAATTACTGCAGGTTCGAATCTCGCCAAGGCTCAAGGTTGACTCAGCCTTCCATCCTTTCTAAGGTAGGTAAATTGAGGACCCAGTTGTGGGGGCAATAAGCTGACTTTGTATAAATATACAAAAGAATGAAGGCTATTGCTTAGCGCATTGTAAGCCACCCTGAGTCTCCGGAGAAGGGCGGCATATAAATCAAATTAAAAAAAAAAAAAAAAAAACTGGGTCGGCCAATGAGGGCTGTTTTGGAAACAGAAACTTAAGCAAGAAGTCTGGGCGTGGCATAGCTGTGCTGAGCTCTGATTCTGCGCTCAGCTCTAAAACGAAACTAATCTGGACTGTCTGCTGAACTGAAACTAAGCACTTACTTACAATCTCTCCTCTGCTTGTGTTTTTTTGCCTGTAACTCTTGGAAGAATCCGCGGTTGGTACTGTCTGTGTTGTTATGTATATAAAGGGAAGTTAATGAATCCTGCAGAATCAGTTACCTGTGTGTGCTTTCTGGATTTGATTTTGTGCAACAAACTCTGAAAGAAGGTCCCTTCCAACTTCTATTATTTTGCTTTCTGTTAAGTCACCTTCTGAGATAAGCGAAATTATATTTTGGTTCCAGCAATACTGGTCACACCTGATTGTGATCTTCACTCGGAATAGGTAGCTAGGAGAAGTTATCCCGTAATTGTCCTTTTTCCCCTGCGCGACCACAAACAGGATTTAGTAGGTCAGAGGGTGGGCTACACAACAAAGCATGAAGATTATGCAGTCTACCAAACCATGGTATTGTCTGCCACATGTCTTTCCTGATGAAATCTGAATCTTCCCTAAGAAGAACCAGGATCCGATGGAGAAGGACTCCTCCTTTCCAATTATTTTACTGAATTTTGGACTTGGCCCGCCTTTCATTTTTCATCATTGCTGCTGGACAAAATGGGAGGGAAATTGTTTCCCCCCCTTCCCTACACACACACACACACACACACACACACACACACACACACACACACACACTGTGTGTGTGTGTGTCAAGCTAAATGGATTACTGAAGATACAGATCAGTTTGCCTGTCTGCACTTGCCTTTAGACAATATTCATCAGTTCTACAAAAAGCTCTTGATTAAACAGAGAAGCCAAGCAAATGTCAAGGTTCAAAGCAAAAGGCCCTTTGCTCCCATCTCGCAATTCTCAAATTGGACTGATAGTTGACTTTGCATTAGCCGTAAGTAATTGTCGGCAGAAATGAAATCAGCTCACGGCTCTGAAGGTAGGAAAGTTGGCAAGGGAAACCTCTTATTTTGCCTTTAGGGAGAATAGAGTAGAGTAGAGTAGAGTAGAGTAGAGTAGAGTAGAGTAGAGTAGAGTAGAGTAGAGTAGAAAATGAATAGAATAGAATAGAACAGAACAAAGGACTAGAGTAGAGTAGAAAATGAATAGAGTAGAGTAAAGTAGAGTAAAGTAGAGTAGAAAATGAATAGAATAGAATTAGAAGAGAAGAGAATTAAAAGAAGAGAATTGGAAGAGACCTTGGAGGTCTTCTAGTCCAACCCCCTGCTCAAACAGGAGACCATTCTGGACAAATGGCTGTCCAGTCTCTTTTTAAAAACCTCCATGATGGAGCACCCGCAACATCTGGAGGCAAGTTGTTCTGCAGATAGATTGTTCTCATTTTCAGGAAATGTTTAGGTTGGATCTGTCTTTGCTGAAGACAGAAGAAGAAGAAGACAGTACAATACAAGAAGGAGGAGGGGAGGGGGAGGGGGAGGAGGAGAGGTCCACTTATTTTCCAAAGCTTCTGAAGACAAGACAAGAAACAATGGATGGAAACTAATCAAGGAGAGAAGCAACCTGGAATTAAGGCGAAACGTCCTAACAGTACGGACAATTAACCAGTGCGACAGCTTGCCTCCAGAAGTTGTGAATGCTCCAACACTGGAAGTTTTTAAGAAGACCCCACATAGGATGGGACTAGTAGACCTCCCAGGTCCCTCCCAGGTCCCTTCCAGTTCCATTTTGATTGATTGACCTTTTCCATCTGTTACTTCTTGCCCTGCCCACACAGAATTTAAGTTTTGGCTGGGGAATTCTGGGAGTTGAAGTCCACAAGTCTTAAAAGTTGCCAAGGATGGACAACCCTGTTTTAGCACATCCCTGGGAAGCATGCAAAAAGACTTAGAACTGGCTTCCTATTAAATAAGGGGCAATGGGGAGGGCAGGGGTGGGCTGCTGGGGGCTCGCAGGGGTTCAGGAGAATCTCTAGCTAAGATTCTGTGCAGTTCAGAGAACCCTCAAATCCCACTCCTGGCTGGCCCCACCCACGCTGCCCCTCCCCTCCCAGGAGTCCTCACGCGGCTCGTTTTGGATGCAGGTAAGTGCAGGGCGCACACAGAGGCTTGGGGAGGGCAAAAAATGGGTCCAGCGGAAGTTTGGGAAGGCTGGCCTCCAGAGGGCCTCCGGAGCCCAAGGAGGCCATTTTCGTCCTCCAGGAGGCACGAGGAAAGCCTCCGGAGCCTGGGGAGAGCAAAAACACCTCCCACCCGCACTGTGATGCAGGAGGCCAATTAGGCCATGCCCACCGTGGCCACACCCACCAGTAACTGGGCAGAGAACCCCTTGCTAAAATTTTTGAAGCCCACCCCTGGGGGAGGGGATGTTTCCTTCTTTTGCCTGTTCAGAGCTAACACAGGGCTGCAATTCTTCCTTTGATGTCCTCGCCGTGTCTCTAGTTCAAAGTTTCTTCTGCCACTCTGGCTAATGGGGTCTTTTCGTAATAGATTGCCGGTCCCTTGAGTCGCCAGATTTTTATTTTTTTTTGAAAGACGGGTCACAACCGAGAGGAGCTGGCTGTTAAATAACATTTGATGCCGCTCAGGGGAATGATAATTACAGCAGTTTAGTTAGGAAGATTCACGGGGGGCCGTAAGAAGAGCCACATTCCTGCAAGAGGCAGGCTTCTCAGCCCTGACCTTTGGCAAGGAAGTGGGGTCAGAACCCATCCATCGTCTCTGAAGTTGGCATATCGGGTCACACCGGTGAGGTGGGGAAAGAACCAGGGGGTAGATAGAGGGGAGCTTATTCAATCACACTCCTGAAAGGAAAAAAAAAAAAGAAAAGATGCCAAACCAATTCACGAAGTGATGAGTGAGAGATATCAGGAGGGATTTGAGCCTGTACAATATCAGCCAGACCTGTCCAAGGAAATCCATGGAGTTCACGAGTATCGAAAAAAGAAAGATCTTCGCTTCTATGGCCCCTGGAGGGTGAGGTGATGTTCTCCAGCTCTTTTGGGGTTGGGACAGCCTTTCCCAGCCTAAATCCCCCCCCACACCAGGACAGCCTTTCCCAGCCTAAATCCCCCCCCACACCAGGTAGAGCTTGGCCTATAACATCCTAGGCCCATGATGGCGAACCTATGGCACGCGTGCCACAGGCGGCACACAGAGCCATATCGGTGGGCACGCGAGCACAGCTCTGGTGCACATGCGCACGCCGGTCAGCTGATTTTTGGGCATTTTGGACCCACTGGAAGTCGGCAAACAGGCCGATTCCAGCCTCCGGAGGGCTTCTGGGGGGGGGAGGCAGTTTTTGCCCTCCCCAGGCTCCTAGAAAGGCTCTGGAGCCTGGGGAGGGTGAAAAACAAGCCTACCGGGCCCACCATGTCATCACATGCCAAAAGCAGGGGAAGCACAGGGGGGGTCACACACACATGCGTGGGGGCAGAGCGCATAGAATTATGGGTGTAGGCACGCATGCACCTGATCCACCCCCCGCTCCCCCTACTTTTGGCATGCGATGGCAAAAAGGTTAGCCATCACTGTCCTAGGCTGACCCATAGAATCATAGGGCCGGAAGGGGATCTTGGAGGTGATCTAGTCCAACCTCCTGCATTGATGATGTTACCGAGCTTGATAATGAAACGTCTATGTGAAAACTACGAAGATCAGAGAGTACCAAGGGCCTCACAGTCCTCCTCCTCTTCCTCCCCACTTCCTCCTCCTACTCCTCCCATTCTCCTTCTTCTCCATTCCTCAAACCCCATCCTGTTACTGATGATGTGGAGTTTAATAATAAGATGTCTGCAAGGAAACCATGAAGCTTAGAGAGGACCAAGGACACGACAGTTGTCATCTCCTCCTCCTCCTCCTCCTCCTCCTCCTCCTCCTCCTCCTCCTCCCCCCCCACCCAACCCCACTCCCTTCTAGCACTGATGATGTTACCTAGTTGGGTCATGAAATGTCTACAAGAAAACCATCAAGCTCAGAAAGCACCAAAGACTCTACAGTCCCCCCCCTCCATCCTCCTCCTCCTCTCTGCCAACCTCACTTCCTTCTAGCACTGATGCTGCTACTCAGTTGGGTCATGAAACATCTGCAAGAAAACCACCAAGCTCAGAAAGCACTAAGGACTCCACAGTCCGTAAGTTTGTATGGCCTGAAGAGCAAAGATGAATTCAAAGCCCTTTGTATAGATTGAAGCAAATAATTGAGATATCCGACACTTCATTTGAGATTCGGTCATCATCCAAACCGTCAGACAGATCTCACTCGCCAATCATATCAAAGATCGAAATATCACGATTAGCCGGTCCCGGCTATTCTCTCTGGTAATTAGAAGAATTACTACAGAAAAAAAAAACACGTAACTTCGTCTATTTATCGAAAGGAAGAATCTTTATGGTTATTTCCAAGGGAGAAACCATTAGCTTCTTAAGGCAAATCACTGGAAAGGCACGATAGATCAAATTGCTGGAATTACTATTTAATACTTGTTTATAGCACACATTTCTAGGGATACCTTGGGGGCGTGTTTTTTTTTTTTTTAAAGGCCTCTAAAAGAACATGCACTTCCGTATTAAAGAGTAATGAAAATATATATTCCCCTGGTCTGTTTTGATGTTTTTTCAATATTAACTCCTCTCTCTCTCTCTCTCTCTCTCTCTTTTTTTTTTGATAGAGATGTACAGCATCCTATGCAAAGAGATATTTTTTGATGATGAAGTCAATAAGAAAAAAAAGAGTCCTCTTTAAAGGTATATATATATTTATTTTATACATTCAATTTTAAAATTGGTTTTAAACAGTTCGGGGTTTTAAATTTGTCGGAGCCAAAATTATTTAATTTGATTTTATTCTACTTTTAAATTTTGTATGGATGTGTTTTATTGTCTGGCTGTGCACCGCCCTGAGTCCTTCGGGAGTAGGGCGGTATAGAAATCGAATAAATAATAAATAATAATAATAATAATAATAATAATTAATAATATATATATATATATATATATATATATATATAGATATATATATATATATATATATATATATATATATATATATATATATATATAAAATAAACGCGCACAATAACCGCGTTTTGAAATCTCCCTTCCCGCGAAACTCTGAAGACAAATCCACTCAGACCGAGTGGAGCAAAATTCCAAGTTTCCGCGTTGTATGTCAGGGCTCAGGATGACTTGTCAGTTCCTCCGA